TACCCCCACCACCGCCTTCCAACCCCCAGCCCAGGCGAAGCTAGCTCCGGGGCCGGACCAGAGCCATTTCGAAGTAGGAACCGCGGTACCTAACCTAATTTTTGAGTTGATTCGATGGGGGCAGGTGGAATTGAAAGGGCGGGGAGGGCAGGCTGGGGGACAGGCGAGGGGGGAGGGGGCTGGGAGGCGGGACCGGCGGTTCACTTAAGTTGATAATAAAACGTTGATAGCAGTCAAGGAAGTATTGGGCTGACTCAAAGAATACAAATGGCTCACCGCGGAGCCGAGAACCCCCTCCCCTACCCCGCTAGAAAGCTCGAGCCCTCGTTACGTGGATCGCGGTTAAAGCTTCGTTGCGATGTTGCCGCTAGGTAGAATTTATTCGAAATGTATCGCGGGGTTTATTTAATTGTGCTCTTGCACGCAACGGATCGAGTGTTTACGAGGAGAGGTGATTGCGAGGGGGTCCGACATGCGGTCTGATTGTTCAAATTGATAGATAAAGCTATAGACAAAGAGGAAATAATGAGTATGGATCGATCCTATTGGTTAATTTGGGTGGTTTTTATAGATTAAGGGGGAATGAAGGACTAACAAAAGGGTCCCTCGTGAGTTGCCGTTAGTTGGACGTATTTCTGTCAAACGGAACTATGTGCATTAAGACATACGCTTTGAGACCCATAAAAAGTTCTGCATAACAGGGCTCACGTCATATTAGACATAGTTCTGTTTGGTAGAAATACATCCAGTTAGTGTATCACCCACCTCCTTTGTCCATTGCAACCACCCGCTTCCATCGACAGGATCCCTCCGTATACTTTTTGTCTTACTTGTCTATAGCTTTGTCTGTCAATTTCAACATTTAGCAGCGAGCCAATTATTGAAATTGATAGACAGAGAAGACATAGGGGGTATAAAGCAATCCTATTGGTTGAAATGGGTGGTTCTCATAGACTACGAGGGAAAATGATAGACTAACTGTCGGATCTCTTGTGGGTTGCCGTTTGTTAGTCTATTACCTACCTCCTTTGTCCATTGTAACCACCCGCTTCTACCAATAGGATCCCTTAAAATCATTTTTGTCTTCTTTGCCTATTGCTTTGTCTATCAATTTCAATAATCAGCCCGCTGGGGCCGCGTATCATTGTAGTTCGTTCATACTTCGAAAATTTACAGACAGCGAGTTCATTCAGGAAATAACTGTCTGTAAAACATGTTAGCATCCTAGGGGGAAGGGTAATCNGGGGGGGGGGGGGGGGGTTAAGTTAGTCAAAATTTACCTGAAGAGGGTCAAGCCGAACTTGACGTCAGTTTTAAGTGAATTGAAACTGTAATTTCTTCTAGATACACTGAAAGCTTCCTAAGGCCCTAAAAGTGTTTGAAAAGAAGAAACATTAAGAAGTTTAAGATAGTGAAAAAGTAAAATTTTGCCATTTTTTGATCATGAAATCAGTTAAGACTCGTTTTAGATCAGACTCGGGTTACAATAGATTCTCAATTTTTGCGCACTACATTCTGGGTTCTATCGATTATTTTTAAATCATTATGTGGTTTATTTCGGTCAAATTGCAATTTCAGCCTCAAGATTCATTATCGATAAGGCACGTCCGAAAAGTAGTTCCGTTTTGCAACCAATTTCAATGTTTCGATATCAATGGTCAAGTGAACACAGTACTATTGATTTTGTTTCAAAATTTTGGAAGATTATATTCGGTATGAAAATTCCTTAATAATTGATCTAGACGGTAATTGTTGAAATACACCAATCATGCAATCGACACGTTACTACACTCACGTTATGGTTTTAAGTCATTCAAACCAGTTCTCCTTCAATATTCATGGTTACAGTCATGGCTGTAGTGGCTTAATACTTCACTTAGACTGTTTTAAACTTGTTCCGATCAGTTCGCCTTCAATATTTTGATAGGCAATGTGTGCGGCTCGGGAGCAGTAATAGTTGCTCGCAGCATTTTAGCCACATTCACACAGTTTAATCATAGCTGGGGTGAGATAATGCTTCGCATCCATTGCCTTTAACTCGCTAAGACCCGTATTCAACTTCTCGATACGCAATGTGAGTGTGGAAGCAATAATAATTGCTTTGACAACGATTGTTGATACAGAACCTTTCAAATTTGTAAAGGGAAAGTTGCCCCGAGGGGCATTTTCTAAAAAAAAATCTTTTTCAAACAATTTCTCGAAAAATCTACATTCAAACATGTCGGACACTTGTTTTTAATAATTTATGGGTAAATCAGCAAGACTGTTTTTCCATGCGTATACAGAATGAACTTTGAAGCACACACCATTTTAGCACGAAGTCTCAAAAAGAATCTATTCGCCTTACAGGTGATTTCAGACCTCTATGCTTGAGGCTCGGATAGAATTCCAAAGGAAAAACATGGTTTTGCTAATTTAAATAATTAAATTGGTAATGAATTGGAAACCGCGCGTTGTAGTGCGCGATTTGACTCACGTAGAGCTTTGAGTTTCTTGTGAGCAGGCAGTTCAAATTCCTCGTAACCAATGTGAAATAAAAACGTTGATATCTTCGTCAGGAGTTGCTTTAAGTAATTTTCGTTGTGCGAATCGTGCTCTACGTGAAATTCTGACCGAGGATCATGTATCAGAATACTTAAATTCGTACCTTGTCTAGTGGTCCATTGAAACATGTCGGACGCTTTTTTGTAGCACTTTAATGGTTAAATCAACAAGACCATTTTTTCCGTGCTTATACAGACGTTGATTTACACACCATTTTAGCAAGAAGTCTAACAAAGTACCTCTATATAACTCCACATTTACTTCCTCAAATAATGCCCGACCACCGGTCAGACTAACCACTCTATTTTGATGCACTGCGCCCACGTCATACCGCTCATAACTCGCGCTGGGTAGGGAGGAGGGACCGGCCTGCCAACATCAGAAACCGAGAGAAATCCCACAGCGGGGCGAATGAAACATGGGCCACCAGGGAGTCATGTGATAGGCATAAATGCCCTTGTTACACTCATAGCATTACAGTCATGTAAGTCATATCTGAGTCATAACAACGGCTCGCCCTAGCGCTGCTCACCAACTTTCGGCAAACAGTTAACAGAATTTCGTTTTTATGGAACGCTACTACCCATGTTTTCACTGTGTAGTTTTGTGTCTAAGGTGATTCGATGGACGCCATATTTTGTGTCAGAACGGCA